TGACACGGACAGTTTTATATATATATATATATATATATATATATGACATATGGCTTTAGGAGACCAAGGAGGATATATTTTCTGGCTTAGGGAGACCACTGGATTAAGGCGACCTTTTTCGGTCTCCCTATTATTTTGACCTCATCAGTATTGCAAATGTCTTTTTATAGATAAATAAACAGTCTGCCATTAAATATTATTAATCTTTAACTCTGTTATTTAACATTCAAAAGTTGTCTAATTTCTATAATCTTCCCTAATAAAGAAAAGAATTTATAACCTACGTATAATTTCAAAGGATAATTTTTCTGCATTTTGGAGACCATGAAAAACATGCAATTAAACAAAAAATCTAGCGTATATATTTTTTCCGCTTTTGATCTGTTCAAATGAGTGTTTCTTTAACTTAGTTTTCCATGTTTTATGTTAAAAACCTAAAAAGGAAAAATATTGTAAATTTATGAACCATGTTTTGAATTCTTAGCAAGTGCTTTCCGTCATTTGTTCCGAATGCCATCGGAATGCCCCTTCAGTTTTCAGAAAATGACCTCTGAACACCATGGATGTTGAGAAATTTGGGTAAGTAACTAAAATGATACAGTAATAAGTTGTAATTAAGAATACACAAGACAAACATTCGTTTGTTTTTTTTTTGCCTAGTAATTTAGCTTTCAAGAGAAAAAGTATGATTTTAAATAATCGTTAGACTATAGTTCGGTATATAAAATCCTGAAGGAAATTCGAAATAAAGTTAAATGATAGACCCCTATATTTTTAATTCTTTTATGCAAGTCCACAAACAAATTAAATATTTAAAGATTAGGCAGAACGTTGAAAAAATAGTCTCGCAAGTTGACGCAGCTATTGCGAGCTTAAAAATTTAAATTAAACTTTCTGTAAACATCATGCACCTGACATGATCATCATGATATTGTATAAATGAAACAGACCCTGTAAGAAAAAAATAGCTGTAATTTAATAATTGTTTATTAATATAATGTGGTCCTCTTCTAATAGAATATAATATATGCTGTAAAAAAATTCTGAATCAGGGTGAAGCAGATTTGATACAATACATGGCTGAAGGAACGGGGGGGGGGGGTGCAGGCCCCCTGTAATTTTGCTGAAATTTAGGTATACTATAGAAAACATTGCTCCTTTATGCTTGGGCCCCCTCAATAAAAACCTCTGATGATCTATTTTTCTTTTGCTTTTGGGCCCCTCAATAATAACCTCTGATAATGTATTTTTCTTTTGCTTATTAAAAAATTTTTGGTTTGTAGCCTCCCCCAACCTGAAACTGAAAAATGTTGTTTGGTTGTGCTCACCCCCCCCCCCTCCAACTAAATTACGTACGGGCCTATTCTCCATCCCTGAGGTTTTCTTTCACCAAAGAAAGATTAATTGGTAACAGTTCAGATATATATAGCAATATTTACGGAAGGGAATATTCTCGTTTAATTATGAAGATGTGACAGTAACTCAGTCAAAGCCACAATGAGTGTAACATTTATTTAATATTATTGTTAATGTTTACAAATAGTGAAATACTGATACTGTGAAATTTTAATGGATATATAGAAAATATACAAGTACAACCATTTATTGTAAATCACATACATGAAAAGCTTCTTTTTTTTTCAAGCAATTGGAAATTCTTCATTTTTTCATGAAATTATTTTATTTCGTATGTATGATAATTTATTTCGTATTTTAATTCAGTCAACAAATAATTGTCGCAGCCTAGTTCCCTTCATTATTTTCAGCAGTTCAGTGACAGAGATAAAATGATCATTTGAGGTTTATATCCCCCCTCCCCACCAAATGAAACTGAAAAATGTTTGGTTTTGGTCCCCTTCAACTGAAATTGATTCCTACTTACCACGCTTACAGGCTTAACTATGAAGATGTGACAGGGAGTGTAATAACAATAATTGTTCTGACGGATACAAATTAAGCTGATATACGTATCAAATTTTAATGGATAGATAGAAATTAATAAACAATTACAACCATTTATTATAAACTACATAAAGATAATTTTTCAAGCAATTTGAAATTCTTCATTTTTTATGATAATATTTTATTTCGTATATATGTTTATAGGTTTATTCGTATCAACAAATCTGTGTACGAGTTAATAACGCAGCCTGGTTCCCTGCATTTTCAGTGACAGAGAACCAGAATAAGATTGTAGGGAAACAAGCCTTGTTACAAGGTTTGAGGTTTGTTTATTTTATATTTTAATTTACACTTTTTAAAAATTATTATTATCTATTATGCAAAAATCTGTGTGCAGATGAATATTTACATTTTAATTATGTTATAAGTCGTTTTGTGGTTCATATTTGCGGTGACTGTCCCACGTGTGTTTACCTGTTTACATTCACCTACTGTCCTAGAGTCTTCAAAATATACCTTCTGTAATCATGACTGTTGTAATCTTGTTTTTATGTTAGTTTACCATATGTAACTTGACTGTTGTATAGATTTATAGCGATCACTACAAGCTTTTAATATTTAGGTGAAGAGAAATTTCAGACTATCAATCACAGGCACTTGTTTCATAAACGGTGCACCCCTACTTATTTTTACCACAAGGTATCTAACTCAATTTCAGGCACCCCTGCTTCAAGCTCGTATTTTGTTCATGTATCATTATCAATCATTAACCTACTTTCAAATGACATCGTTCGCTTCAAGAGACTTTTTTCTTGTCAAATAAATCGTTTCAGACGTCTCTGGTCGAGTCTCTTTATTGTAAAGCACTCATTTATTCCACGAAAATTACCTCGATACATTTTAAGACTTTAGATGGGATACAACTTCCAGTTGGGGGTAGAATAAAACCAGAGACTTCCAAGTATTCCATTCCGAGGTCTCTGGTTTTATCCTTCATTTATAACCCCAACCGCAAATTTGTATCGAAAATGACCTTGATACATTTTAAGACTTTAGATGGGATACAAATTTCATTTTTTTCACAGGTCACGAGGTTTCAACTTAAAAAATAAAAATTCTCACCGTTAAGATATGTTGGAAATTTTAGCTTGATGTGTTGATAATTTGCCAAATTATTATGTAATAAAGGGGACTTTATATGATCACCCGGCGCTGTCGCTTTAGTTCAGTCTTCAGAACAATTCTTTTTCAGCACATGCCCTTCGGGCATGTAGACCTATCATTTTTACCCAGCCCATTCAAATTTGTACATGTCCTACTCAAAATTCTTACATTTACCAGTATTGTGCAACAAAAAAAAAAAAAACCCATTAGGTATAAAGGTCTTGTATTAATTTTTTCAGCGTCGTAAACCAACCATGGCCTGTGATTGCCATTTTCTAAAGCGTTTTTGTTGTAAAAAACTTTTGAGTTGCATGCTGGTCATTTGTTGGCCGGTTTAGCTGAACTGAATTTCAGAAATGGGATCATGACTGTGGTGCCACAGTATGTGGCATTGATGAACATCTCGTAATTTAGCAAGCAATTTCGAGAAAACAAATAGGTTAAACTAAACACTTCAATGATTAGATTGACAATCATTTGACAGGTCGTATTGAGAATGTAGACATGCAATCCATCGACATTACATATAGCAACGTTTAAGCGAATAATGGGGGTAGGACAGAATAAATGGCAAGTAAAGATCGTACAATGAAAGAAGATTCACATATGCCCTCTTCGGACATGTAATTTGGCAATTTTTACATGTCCGGCTGCAAATTTAACAGGTCCCTGGCATTGGACTCCCGGGTTATTTGGAAGACTGTTAGTTTAGTTTCATGAGGTCCGACAACATTGATTGTCAATGTCTGCTCCCTCTACCCCATACACTTATCTTGATAAAATTATATAAATTATATTATTAATTATATAAATTGATATGAATTATATAAACCGGTCTTGTTTATATAATTTTACAATGTCATAAACAGCTGCTTAAGTGCATATGATATTGTAAATGGATTTATATATAGGATTAGGGAAAGATCCTCACTTGATTATGGCAGCATATTTAGCTCGCAGGAGTTTATTATCTACCACACATGATCAATGTCACTTTGGACGTGAATGACTTTTGACACCCTAACTTCAGTTCAAATCAACGTTAACTTTATGTGACGTCTCTCTGAATCTTTTTTGGCATGTAACTTGGGTAAAAACAATTAAGTATTCTTGATGCATTTGATTTCTCTTAGCCCGTTTAAACATTTCCAAGGTCTATACCAGTTTTTGCAGGGGCGAAACTATGTAGAAGTTGGAAAAGAAACACATCCCCTTTTTGACATATTTGGTTTTCGAGGGGTGAAAATTTTCAATATTACACTCAACTACATGCAATATTTATTATATTATACTGAATGTTTTATACAAATACAAATAATAGTGGACCTTGAGCGCATAAATCTGCGCAGTCACTTTTTTTTTGGAATATCACCCGTCGTCAAGCAATGTTGACTGTTGCGACACTGGGCGTGGCTTCATTATTCAGCGGATAATAGTGCTTTTTAACAAATGTTTCTTGACGAATCAGATTAATTCATCTAATATACCTGAAAGTACAATATTAATTAATTGTCATCATTTTCCTATATTCAAAAAGACTGTTCAAAAAGTCTTAAAATGTTGTTTTGGCTCAATTTCTTTGTTAGATTACTGTGTTGATCTAAGGCAGGTCAATTAAAGTAACATGATCCTATAGATTCCATGTACATTTAGTACTGTAAAGTAGACAAATTTATTGTTCTCACAAGTTGTTCTCAAACATTGATTTAAGTTGGTCTGCTGAAGGATGTAATAATGCAATTGGTCTGCTTAAGGTACAGTGTATAATATAGACATGCATATTTTACTTTGAATTTGTATTATGTCAATCATTAGAAATATATGGATCTTAATTAAAAAAACATTGTTTTCATTAGAATTTAAGATATGTATAATAGGCATATATTCTTCATGCTTTTCCATAGTTAAGTCCTTTTTTACAGGGTCTCTGCTAGAATCATGTGGACCCAAGTGTAACAAATCTATGGAAAGAGAGAAAATCTCAGCTCAAGGATCAACATGTCTTTATTCAAAGAAAGGTAAATGGATAATTTTTTCTGCTAAAATACTCTTTTATAAATTATAATATCAATGCAAAAGAGTGAACAAACAATGTACCTAACAACATTTTGAACATGTTGAAAATGAAAGTGCAATAACAGTAGGAGTGGGACGATCCACCGGTGCACCGATGCATCACAGTATTCACTTTGACGATCTACAGATCGATTCATCTAATTTAGTATCACGATACCTGACCGCACTTTTTTTTTAATTTCCAAAAATGTCCGGGCTTTACATGTAGAATTCGAAATTTTTAGACCTTTAGTCTGTATCATCAAGACGTTTAAACACACACAAATAAAGTACAAACGTCTTGCTGATACAGAATTCAAGATATAAGCGTCAAAATGGCGTCAGACACGCCAGATTATATTAAATTAACGAAACCCAATGGCAGTAAGTCGGGTTTCTGGGACACCTTTGGGCTACCGGTGTATGAAAAAGACGGCGCACGAACAACAGATAAAAGTAAAGTGGTATGCAAGATATGTGATGCTCGTTTGAAATACAATGGCAACATCAACAAATTTCTAGTTTTATTTGGTTTTAAATGTATCGTGATATGTATCGTATCGCACCTAAGGTATCGTGATATGTATCGGATCGGATAAGTTCAGTATCGTCCCAGCCCTAAATAACAGTTAATAATTATGATCAATCGAATGAATGTTAATAATCCAATCAAAGTCCTTGTTGTATATCATTTTTGCTAGGGCTGTGTATTGAGCAAAAAAAAAAAAAAAAAAAAAAAAAAAAAAAAGGAAGACATTTTTTAATGCGATATGCAATATATTGAATTCTTTAACAATTCTGTCAAAAAAGTCTTATAAATCATTATGCATGAATTTTATAATAATTGTTTTTTACTCATTTTTAATTTTTTGTCTCACCGTCTTTAAAAATTACACTTCAAATTCAAACTTTTCTTGACTGTAAAATCAACATGTTAAGGCCAAAATAAAAATTACCTTTGTTTCCCCTAACGCGACCGACCCACTTAAATCGTGCCGACTGAAAAGTTTTTTTAAATCAGATTATTGAATTTTATTTTTTTTATTGTTAAGCAACTTTATAAAATACAATTTCATCAAAATCCGTTTTTTATCAGAACGGCAGCTTTTGTTTGGTGTCCACAACATGTGGCCACAGAGGGTTAGTTCGTGTTATAAAACAATGGTGACGTATTAATCTTATACATCTTTAACTTATAAGAATCCTAAACTCTTGAGACATCTCGTGAATTAATGTACCATGACTAAGGAGTGTTAAGATGGTATTTACAAATGTGTCTTCTAAAATTTACGTACGTAGTACGCATAGCAAAGCCTGCCTCATGAGCAGATGAGGGGCGCTCCTTGTGAATACATATAAAAAATTTCACTGCATTTGATTCGTTTCGATCTAATAAACAGTTCATGTATGATCCCATTTTTACTATATAGGACCATAGGAGTTGTAAATATGTCTTTGTATGATTATTTCATCTTGATAAATAAAATTCAGATGTCGTTTCTTTATTCCTTTCATCTATGGGGTATTAACTCCGTGACTATAAAATTAGATACATGAAACTTTAATCATTTGAGATATGGTTTGGTTGAATTATACATTGTTTATACATGTACACTATTTCCAAATAGTGGTGAAATCTTTAAAATTTGCTTATGGTACGGCTTCCTGAGACGTCGAATTTATATTTCTTTAGTTAGGCCCTTGAAAACAGGTTGTTTCTTTGCTTTAAAATACTTTTAGAAATTGTTGAGCCGGTGGAGGGCTCCTAATTTAGACTTTTACTCGGCACTTATGGCCATTGATTATTAAGCATCAGTAAGGGATCTTTTACGTGCCATCTACATGTATACTCCGACACTGGACCTACATGTACGTTTTTTACGGTCTTATTTGACTGACCGGTCTCCACGTCCCACGTCGGGACCTGTGACTTAGAATAAGCTCCTGAATTACGTCGTGACTCCCAAACGAAACACTAGAATTACTGCGCCACGCAAGGCCCTTGACATTTTGTCTATGTAAGTATAGTAGGTTTTAAAAATGTACTCAAATGTCCGATGGTTCTGTATTTGCGAATCTTGTGTTTTTGTAAATATTCGATTTCAATAAATTTATGCTGGCCTGAGATATTTCACAAGTTCAAATGAATAATATTTGTGAATTAATTTACCATACATGTTGCTTCATTTGTATGATATTCGGTTTAAAAATCGGTTTCTTTTGTTCTTTCTTATTTATATCGATATTATTCATTTTTTTAGATTTTATTTCCAAAACTGCTGTCAGAAAAAAAAAATAATTTACCTACCTACCGACCCAATTTGAGATTTTGGGGTCGTGTTAGGGGAAACAAAGATATTTTTAATGATGGCCTAAGTATTTTTATGATTTTGTAATAATCATTTAAGATGTGCTACCTCCTTAATGATTATATCATTTTTGATCAGTTTTAATTCAAAACAGTTACCGGTAAATATGATCTTTGGTGATTGAAATTCCCAAGTTTTTCACAGAATTACATAAAAAAACTGCCTGTCTAAAATGTATTGGAATTAAGTTATTTTTAGCTCACCTGAGCCAAAGGCTCAAGTGAGCTTTTCTGATCAAAATTTGTCCGTTGTCTGTCGTCGTTGTCGTCTTTGTCGTTGTTGTTGTTGTTGTAAACTTTTCACATTTTCATCTTCTTCTCAAGAACCACTGGGCCAATTTCAACCAATCTTGGGTAAAGGGGATTCAAGTTTGTTCAAATGAAGGGCCACAACCTCTTTCAAGGGGAGATAATAAAGAATTAGTGAAAATTTAGTGGTATCTTTTAAAAAATCTTCTTCTCAAGAACCACTGGGCTGTAAAAGTTGAAACTTAGGTGAGACCTTCATTACATAGTGTAGATTAAAGTTTGTTCAAATCATGACCCCCTGGGGTAGGGTGGAGCCACAATGGGGGATCAAAGTTTTACATAGGGATATATAGGAATAAATCTTTAAAAATCTTCTCCTCAAGAACAACAAAGCCACGATTAGTCATATTGATATGGAATCATCCTCAGGTAGTGTAGATTCAAGTTTGTTCAAATCATGACCCCCAGGGGTAGGATGGGGCCACAAGGGGGGATCAAAGTTTTACATAAGAATATATAGAAAAAAACTTTAAAAATCTTTTTCTCAAGAACAACGAAGCCACAATTAGGCATATTGATATGGAATTATCCTCAGGTAGTGCAGATTCAAGTTTGTTCAAATCATGACCCCCAGGGGTAGGGTGGGGCCACAATGGGGGATCAAAGTTTTACATAGAAATATGTAGGACAAATCTTGAAATTGTTTTTCTTAAAAACAACAAAGCCACAATTAGTCATAATTTATATGGAAGCATCCTCAGGTTGTGTAGATTCAAGTTTGTACAAAATCATGACCCCCGGGCGGGGGGGGGGGGGGCACAATGGGGGATCAAAATTTTACATAGGAATTTATAGAAAAAAAATCTTTAAAAACCTTTCTCTCAAGAACAACAAAGCCACAGTTAGTCATATTGATATGGAATCATTCTCAGGTAGTGTAGATTAAATTTTCTACAAATCATGACCCCCAGGGGTAGGGTGGGGCCACAATGGGGGATCAAAATTTTACATAGAAATATGTAGAAAAAAATCTTGAAAAATCTTCTTCTCAAGAACAACAAAGTCACAATTAGTCATATTGATGTGGATTCATCCTCAGGTAGTGAAGATTCAAGTTTTTTTCAAATCATGACCCCTCGGGGTAGGGTGGGGCCACAAGGGGCGATCAAAGTTTTACATAGGAATATACAGAAAAAAAATTGAAAAATCTTCTTCTCAAGAACAGCAAAGCCTTGTTAAGTCATATTGATATGGAAGCATTCTCAGATAGTGTAGATTTAACTTTGTTCAAATCATGACCCCTAGGGTTAGGGTGGTGCCACAATTTAGGATCAAAGTTTTACATAGGAATACATAGGAAAAAACTTCAAAAATCTTCTTCTCAAGAACAGCAAAGTCATGTTTTGTCAAACTGATATGGAAGCTTCCTCAGGTAGTGTAGATTCAAGTTTTTTTTCAAATCATGACCACTGGGGGTAGGGTGGGGCCACAATGGGGGATCATATTTTTACATAAGAATATATAGGGGAAAAAAACTTGAAAAATCTTCTTCTCAGGAACAGCAAAGCCATGTTTTGTCATATTGATATGGAAGCTTCCTCAGGTAGTGTAGATTCAAGTTTGTTCAAATCATGACCCCTGGGGGTAGGGTGGGGCCACAATGGGGGATCATAGTTTTACATAAGAATATATAGGGGAAAAAACTTGAAAAATCTTCTTCTCAGGAATAGCAAAGCCATGTTTTGTCATATTGATATGGAAGCATCTTCAGGTAGTGTAGATTCAAGTTTGTTCAAATCATAAACCCCAGGGGTAGGGTGGGGCCACAATGTGGGATCAAATTTTTACATAGGAATATATAGGAAAAAATCTTTTCATCAACAGAAAAGCCATGTATAGTCATATTGATATGGAAGCATCCTCAGGTAGTGTAGATTCAAGTTTGTTCAAATGAGGGGGGGGGGGTTAGGGAGGGTCCACAATGGGGGATCAAATTTTTAACAAGGGAATATATAGGAAAAAAATCTTTAAAAATCTTCTGCTCAAGAAGAGTAAAGCCATTTGTTATATTGATATGGAAGCATCCTCAGGAAGTTCAAAATCCAAGCCCCCTCCCCTTTAAACTTTTCAATAATGAAATGATTTGTGCTTTTTCCTAGCCAATGTGCTCAGGTGAGCGTTGTGGCCCATGGGTCTCTTGTTTTTGATACGATATATTCATTAATCTAGATATGTATCGATATACAGGTAAACTTCGGTATCTCGAACACCGGTATGTCGAATGCCACGGATATCTCGAAGTGAATCATCAGTCCCGGCAGTTTTTATTATATTTATGATTTAAAAAAAACCCGGTATCTCGAACACGGAAATCTCGAATACTTCGCTTATCTCGAAGTAGATTTACAGTCCCAAGAGCTATAAACACATGCGTTATCTCGAAGTCCAACAAATTCTCGCTCCGCTGAATTCACACCTTAGTACATAATAATCCCATTATGCTAATTTTACGGTCTGTTGAACGTTTCCGTTAGGTCTAGCACAGGCTTCATGGGACCATTGCTGATTATCACACCTTATTAGTCCCAAGCTGTTGTTTTTGGTAATTAAATTTAATTACGCAGGCCAGGTGATTTGGAGGTGTTAATTAAATGCACTCTCAGAGATACTATGACACCATAATGAAACAGCGGCTTGGGGACTATTACTGTACTAGAAATTTAAATTATCGAAAATACACGCTTATACACATCATTACATATCAAAGTAAACACTGAACACATCAAAGTGATATTGAACTCAAGAAATTAAACAGTTAAAGACATTATTTTGAGTATAAAAGTCAGTACCAAAAATCAAATCTTCAGTAAATATCATGTCCGATAAGGCAGTCTAACGAAGGACCCGGTAGCCAACCAGGGGGGATAGTTAGATTATCTGACCGTGGTGTAAAAAGAAAACTTAAAGTTCATACAATCGAAACAAAGGTTGCTTTTCTTTATTCATATTGGCAATTTCAATAAATTATTGTAGAACGATAATTCCTGTTGTTACATTTAGGCATGTGGGTATATGTACATATCCTGTTAAAGTCTTTGTGTATCACATTATATCATGATATACTTCAGACAAATTAGTACACCCGTAGTTTTGAATACAATTCATACATTGATTTCATTTGCCACAATGGTCTCTTTAATATTGCAATAATGCATTTGGTCTTTCTAATGCATGTATAATGCAGGTACTGTATACACTCTATGTCCAGCTTATAGGTGAGTCATAAAAAGATAAGTATTTTGAAACCAGGTTAAGATATCAGAGCATTGATTTGAAATTGTCAATTGATTCTGGCAAAAAGTTGTACCGATTTATAAGCGGGTCAATAGCAAATCCCTCCAAAATAACCTCAAAAAATACAACTGACTTATAGGTGGACCCTTATAGGCAAGTATATATATACGGTATAGTTTTTGTTGAATTTTGCTATCAGCAGAACACTATGAATAATGAATTTTGGGAAAAAAAAGATTATTAAGTTTAATGATGCATGTATGTAGTATAGAAATATTGTTCATATGCCTGTACATGGTACAAATATGCATTTTACAGAGTGTACATATGCCAGAATCATATGGACCGCAGACTGGCCCTGGTGATTCCGTTAAGAAAAAAGAGGAAAAATCAGTGCTTGTGCTCATTGGTCATTGGACAAAGGTAAATAGATTTATTTCATGAAACTAAACATGTAAATTACTAGGATATTAGAATATCACAATTAAAATACATATACTGATTTATATATATATGGATATCAGTTGGTCTCCTTGATGGAGTTAAATGCATTTGTTATCCCTTTTAAGTGGATCATTTAAATATTATGCAGTTTATTTAGAAGCTCTTTGTTATCTGCACTGTTCACTTTTACAGGGTGTATGCCAGAATTTTTTCAAGAACAGTCTGAATCTGACATGGAAAAAATGAAGAAAAACAGCCTTCCTGTTTATAAATCTACATTCTGACAAAGGGTAATTTTGTTTAGTTCAATTAGAAGTGCACATTTAATTTCAGTTGCATTCCTTAATGATATATTATAGCATTTTTATTCCCTTATGAACAATATGTATACTTGTAAAGCATGTATCACAAAATCTTCTGCAAACAAAGTTTTGGGTGTATAGTGTTTGTTGTTTAACGTCCCTCTTGAGAATTTTTCACTCATATGGAGACGCCACCACTTGTCGGTGGAGAGCTGCAAATTTTTGTCCTATACTCAGCACTTACGGCCATTGAGCATTGAGGGATCTTTATCGAGCCAGCACCTACTGTGACATGGGACCTCGGTTAATACCTCTGTCTCATCTGAAGAACGTGTCTCCACGTCCCACAGTGGGATTCAAACTCGCGATGTAAGGATCAGCTTCTTTCTCTGCGACTCTAGAGTAGACGCTCTAACCACTGCATCTGCTCTACTTTGGCAGCTCTGGGTGTATATAAGCATAGGAATCATCATGTCCATCTGTCTGTTCATGTGTTTGGCCACTTTTAAGATTAGTTTTTTTGTTCCAATTCTGGCTGAGATAAATTGATTTAAGATATCTAAATACAAACAAATTAAGGGAAATTACTATGGTATTGGAATGAACATTTTGGAATACTGTCTAATTGTTCCATTGTAGTTGGTTTCTTTAACGTTGAAATAATGCATCTGGTCTTCCTAATGCATGATATACACTGTATGCATGTGTAATGTTAAAGTTGGCTGAATGTAAAACAGTTGTTGCGTTATGACAAAGGTAAATAGATTTAGTTCATGTAACTAAACATGTAAATTATTAGGGTATTAAAATCTCAAGTTTTGAATACTGATTTACATGTGGAGAGTAGTTGGTCTCCTTAATGCAGTAATAATACATTTGGTCTCCCTTATGCATACTGTATATTATTTAAATTTAATGACTGACATGTACGAGGGTTGATCCAAAAGTTTATGGAATTTCTTCATATTTTATTTATTTATTAGTGAAAGTGGTTGAATACTGATTTACATGTGGATAGTAGTTGGTCTCCTTAATGCAGTAATAATACATTTGGTCTCCCTTATGCATACTGTATATTATATAAATTTAATGACTGACATGTACGAGGGTTGATCCAAAAGTTCGTGGAATTTCTTCTAGTGTTGTACCGATAATCAGAAAACATCGATTGTCGACAAAAAAATGCTACTGATTCTGATGATCGATTATAGTTTTTCATAATCGATCATCGGAAACATACTTCTAATACAATACATTACGGAATTATCCATTTCTGGTTTAAAATTTATTTCTTCTTAATGAAAGAAAATGGCATCTGCATCTGATACTAGCCAACTAGCACGAAGCAAAGGTGATTAAGAACCGAAGATGCATATATAGGGCCTAAAAAAAATTATTTTTGTTTCCTGTAATAACCCGACCGACCCATTCAATTTACCCCCGGGTGAATTTTTTTTTCTGCCAAATCTGTGTTTGCTCTTTGGTTTGATCAATCAGCTGATTCTTTTTATTCAAAAAATATTAATTGTATCTTTTATTTGAGATATAAAATATGCAACTTAGTCAACATTTACCTTAAATATAGAGTGATCAATTCCCCCCACAACTTTTTGAAGTTCGTTTTCTGCCGCTAGGCAGCCATGTTGGGTGTCCTCTGTAAATATTTTTAGGTCTAGAAAGTGTAAAAGAAGCAAAACAACAAAGAAAATAATATATTATGTATTTTATATATTCATGTTAAAGAAATAAATGAAATTATTGTAATAGTCTGCTTTTTGTATACAAAACTATGAAGAAATCCCATTATAATCGGTGAAATCGCATCAGAAGCAGTAACCGATTCCAACCGATGATCGATTATGAAAATTAACTGATGTCTCATCACTAATTTCTTCATATTTTTTTTTATTTATTAGTGAAAGCGGTTGAATACTGATTTACGTGTGGAGAGTAGTTGGTCTCCTTAATGCAGTAATAATACATTTGGTCTCCCTTATGCATTATGTATATTATATAAATTTAATGACTGACATGTACGATGGTTGATCCATATGCTCATGGAATTTCTTCATATTTTATTTTTTTTTTTTAGTGAAAGTGGTTGAATACTTATTTACATATGGATAGTGGTTGGTCTCCTTAATGCAGTAATAATACATTTGGTCTCCCTTATGCATACTGTATATTAGGCGTAATAAAAAAAAAATATGTTTGTTTACGGTTACCCGACCGACCCTATATTTAATGGCCGACCCAGATTTTTTTTCTTTGAAAAACTCGGAAGTCACTTGCCGGTCAGTTTAACTTTTACATGCATCTTAATCGATCAAGCGTTTTAAATCAAAATTGATAGTGCTAGAAACAAAAAGCACCATACAATGGTAAAACTGTTTTGTATTTCAATCAATTCATGTGAATTTCTGTATAAAAAAATCAATAAAATAAATAAAAAATCCTACCTACCGACCCTATTTTATTTCAGCATGTAACAGTAAACAAACATATTTTTTTGTTTGGCCTTATATAAATTTAATGACTGACATGTACGAGGATTGATCCGAAAGTTCATGGAATTTCTTCTTATTTTATTTATTTATTAGTGAAAGTGGTTGAAAATTACAAATAAGAATATAGACACTTGTTGAATTTTTTTAATAAAAAAATATTTTAAATATTAATGATAGTAACTCTATGGCAGTTGCCATAGCAAAGGATGTTTTAAAATGCAGGGGAGACATTTACTCGTTCATTATCATTTTAATTCTTAATACGTGATATAAGAAAAAACCTGCGCTAAGTGGCAAATAAAATGAGAATTTTGTCATTATTACGATTGCTTGACCACTAATATACCTGTCTGTGAGAGTTTTACTGATTTAACTTGATATTTAGATTATTAGTTGATGATTTCTTGTTCATCTTTTAATTGTTAGAGAACGTCACATTTCAGTCAAGTTATAAGTTTTGTTAAAATCTTAGGAACACTCTGACTTAAAGGGGTATACTACTGATACAGGCTGGAGAAAAATGCATTTAGCAACTGATTTTCCAGTGGCGTGAGAAATTTAAGAACAATAGAACTTCCATGGAGGTTGATTAAAGGTGTGGCTGCTTTTGGAGGGTCTGTTTTTCTCGTAGACAAATTAAGCATTGATGGATGTTGACCGCTGACGTACTGTGCTTGACTTTGCTACTGAAATTGGAACATCATTGGAAAGATGGGGAGTATTTTTGAAATATGAGTGTAATATAAAGATTAGTCGTTTGGTGGATACCCAGGCTTTTCGTGAGAGAAAAAAGGAGAAAAAGGCAGAATATTCTGTAGAATTACTTAGTTGAATTGAACATGAGGGTGAGATGCTCCTATAACATGACATGACATACTTAACTTGACGTTACGTCGAAGTCTCCCCCGGATTTTACAACTATCAGTGTTCAGAAAACTCATACGACCTTATTGGTAATTGGAACGTGGTGAAATTTTCCAGTATTGTTGCATAATGACTCTATATTATAAATATGCCTATTGTTTGCTTTCATCAAATCACAATAAAATTTTAGAAAAAATTAAATTCCATGAACTTTTGGATCAACCCTCGTATTAGAAAAAAGATGGATCTAAGATAGAACAGGTTATAATTCACCTGAGTCATTTAAATTACTTATTGCTATCTGTTCTTGTTCAGTCATCAGTGTCAAGTATTGTCTGTAAACTATTGAACATTTTCAGCTTCTTTTCTGGAACCAGTTTCAACTAATTTCTCGGTTGAAGTACTGTATAGGGGATTAATTTCAGGGGTTGTAATTTTCATGTTTTTCTCTCCTCTGACACGATCGCGGTTTGTTGAATTCGCGGAATCAGTATATAACTAAGGTTACATGTACCTCCCTTCAATGTCTATATCCGTTTAATCCATAGCATAGCTAGAAGGCATTAATCAGCGTTATGTATTCACTTCACGAACAGCGGTAGATTTATATATACATCAGCAAGTTCGATAGTTATTTGAATGATTTTTTAAAACCAAAATGTCGATAAAAACATGATAATGCAGGTAACAAATACACGTCGTAACATAGTTACGTACGGGTATTCAAAACCCATGACCCTAGTGTTCTGATTGATGAAACATGTAGCGTTGGCTATTAAATTTTTTTTTTTTTTTTTTTTTTTTTTAAATACAGGTTATTATCTGCTGGGTGATCTAAATTAATGTCAAGCGTGATAATTAAAATAATTGAATGACAAGTACGATTCGTTATTACTGAAATGACCATGCACTGCACGTATAGTTACCTATCGTAGTCTATTCTCAAATTTCCAAATATAACATGTAGGTTATTGAAAACTTATTCACTGTTTCTTGAATTCACGGATTTATTCACACCGTGAATATAGCGAATATTAACGCCACGAGTTATATTCCCCCTATACAGTATACAGACATAATATAGAAATGATTTTATCGACTTTCTCAATCTATCATGAATTTAAAAATGTAAATATAAGCATTTAATTGTAAATATTAAATATTTAGCATCTCATAACCAGAGTTGGAAATTACTGACTACCCGAGGCGCAGTCTGTTTTTCAGGTAGGCAGGGACAAACTTTAGATTAACTCGGTGGTCGGGGTCATTTAAACAGGTAGTTCCTGTTTTCCTTTTTTTTTTTCAGGGTATAGTAAGTCTATAGAAATTAAGTAAAATATAGTATATCAAAGGAACACTTCTAGTTAAAAATATGAGATGACCTATAGGACCAATATTGGTTTCAGTCTTTAGAAAAAGCTTACCGATATATGTTCCGGTCACTGACTTTAGGTCACATGTGTGTAGTTTCTTGTTTCTCATGTATTTCTTTAGTTCTACATTAATGGTAATCTAACAACCAAGCTTTATGATAAACGTGATGACCATAACTTTTCAATCGTCAACTTCCCTTACTTATTCAGCAATATACCTTCATCACCTGCATACGTGGTATATATCTCTCAGTTGATTCGATACGCAAGAGCATCCTCTATGTATGAACAATTTTTAAAAGAAGGTAAGTTATTGACAAACAAATTGCTGAAACAAGAATATCAGCAGTCTTGTTTAAAGTCATCATTTTGTAAGTTCTATGGTCGATACAATGACCTTGTCAGCAAGTACAATTTATCATTAAGTAAAATGCTGACTGACGTTTTTCATACTTATTGTTAGGCCATTATTTACACACTGAATTGTGTATGGATTTTTCTATTGCTTCCCAGTCGTGACAAGGAGCACACAGCGGGTGTGACTGGTCTGCAGGGGATGCTCACTCCTCCATGGCACCTGATCCCACCTCTGATGTTTTGGAGGTCCGTATTTGCTCTGCTCCTATTTTGTATTTTTTGATGGGCTTTTGAGCTTGAATACTGATTGTTATCTCGATATATTTCATTCTACTCAACTGTGTGTTCATGTGATCCTACCTCAGTATTTACAGAATGATACATCCTTTGTTTGAGGGTCATTCTTGATGTCTGACTGAGTAATGGCAATGGGACATAAAACCTTAACTGACCTTACCACATTCTTTTCTAATCTGAAAACCCTCATGCATTTTTAGCATAACATATCGCCAATGCACACATTTTTCCCGAGGAATGAACTGCATCTACTCTGCATAAAACAGTATCTCTCCCACTGGCACAACAGTACTATTACACGTCATTATATTCTTGAAAGGCAAACACAGCAATTATTGCTCGGCATGATTTTTTTTAATGACACCTGCAGTATCGAGTAACATAAAGTGAATGATTCATGTCCTTGAACAAAGTGTGCTTACATTGAGGTTTAGTTCCGGTTGATTGCGTTTAGTTAAAGAGAATTTATGATCTGCATTTCCATAGATGTCTTTTATATCAACACCAAACATGCATTTAAGGAAGAAAATATATTAAGTAAAATGCAAAAGCCTGTATTAAAAAATCAAAGGACAAGTGCACTTAAGCAATGCTTAATGGGCCCTTTTTCAGTGCCATATTACTTTAGAATGTATTACCAAATTGTTCTCTTTTGGTAATAGTTAAACACAAGTGGACATTTCTAATTAAAATCACATTAAAACATCACCTAAATCAGCATGGATTTGAAACAAATGAAGTTTTTTAAATGCCTATAGATACCCCAAATCCGGAAAAGTCGTACTGAACCTATTTTGAGTTTCGTTTATTTATAAATCAAGGGGAGGAGACATTTAAATCAGACACTTGAATAATCTGATGGTGGATCATTGACAGGCGCGTTTGCCGAATGATACTTCTTGTGCTATTTTACCCGAGAAAAAAATCGAATGAAGTTGTATAGATACCTGTACCCATAGTGATCAAACTAAGAAATTTGCATGCTTGCATTTGAAATAATACAATAAGTATAAACATTAGTTCCTTTAAATTTCAAAATGAAAAAAAGTGTATTTAGGTGGCTTTCAATACCAGTACCATTGTCTTGCATGAATGTTAAAAATGTTTGACACTTTTATTTATGATGACATTTTAACTACACTAAACTCTCCTAACCATCCCGTGTTCCTAAAACCAAATACATACAAAGTTCTCTATGTGGCTTGACTTCGATATAATGATACAAAACGTGGTTATGTTTTACATTGAGCATCTTTGAGGAATGTTTACCTGGGTAGAACTCATGTGACTACCAGTATTTTAAATAATTTATTCCACGGGTGGGTTCAACATAGGTCATACAGGTAAATAGCTCTTGCTTGTTATAGGAAAAACATTGAACTTTTCATACATTTTTAATATTTTAAGTACAAGCCTAATCATGTACAAATTTCCTACTTTCACACAAGTTTTATAAATGTATAATGCATTTTTTGTCAATCGCACAAGTTTGTACAATGTTAGGCTGACAATAAACAAAAGCTTTGAAATGAATGACCGTCCTCGATTTACTATAGAAAATCACGAATGTCGGCTGACCCCTACCACATTGTATGGCTTTGCTCTTTGTATATTCATGAATTTCAGCGATAAAATTTGTTGAATCTTGTGGTTTAGATATCAATTAATGATCTGAGATGGAAAAGTTTGCTTCCTTCATTTTTTCACATTTTACCGGGGCCCATAAGTGCACTCGTTCTTTAGTGTTTATACAGGTAAAAAGTTTGAAAAAATAAAAATGTGCCAACAAATCGTTTCGAACCAGGACACTAAAAATGTTCATGGTGAGAGTCTGCGATCTATCGTTCTGGGCTATGCTGACTATGAGGACATTTGTAATAAATATAAACCAGTATGATAGAAATAGGTTTTCACGTTTTTTGTAGGTTTTTTTCTATGAATTTCGACCCTAGGCACCTCTAAAAGAACCTTGTTTTAAATAATTGCGTACTAGATCAAAATCTATCAAAATTTCATAATTTAATTTAGGGGCAGGCAAAGGGTGATTATATTGCATCTATCGGGTATAATTTTCTTATCAGAAAATTGTAGAGATATGCAAGGTTAATTAATGACAACATTTATTTTTCCTTTTTGCCTAATATTTTTATGATTTTCACTAATAAATTGATTATTGAAAAAACCTTTAATATGACTGCTGATTTTATCTCCATCTGTTAATTTTCAACACCTTTTCTCATGATTATAGTAGATAGAGAACAGATTATGATTTCTAACATTTACTTTTACAGATCATTTCCTTGAGATAGGTGGAACATACAGTCAAATACAGACACTTTTAGGAAAAGTAAAAATCTGGCTCAGGTAAAAAAAAAATCATTTACAGTTTTAACAATTAGTAATTTTACCTTAATTAACTGGAAAAATCTTATTTGATGAAATACAGGTCAAGAATGAAGAGTTTAAAGCCTAGTAGGGATTTTGGTCAATCATTACAGGTAATCTGCAGTCCCTCTCGAGAATTTTACAATCATATGGAGACACCACCACTTGCCAGTGGAAAGCTGCAAATTCTGTCCTATACTCTGCACTCATGGCCATTGAGCAGTGAGGGGTCTTTTTCATGCCAGCACCTACTGTGACACGGGACCTTGGTTTATAAGGTCTCATCCGAAGGACTGGTCTCCATGTCCCACAGTGGGATTCAAACCTGCGACATAAGGATCAACTCCTTACTTCGCGACTCTAGAGCAGACACTCTAACCATGGCGCCACGCTTGTGACTAGCTCAGTTTTAAAAAAATCATTCAAGATATTTTTTATCAAACTTAATATGCTGATACATATATAATTAGTAAGACCTATTCAACTATTTCAAAAACTTTTGACCTTTCCTGTGACCTTGACCTCACTTTCCTTCAATTTGCATTTTGCATGGTTTTAAAACCATTTAAAATATTGATATCTAAGGCTATGCATCTATACATAATTTGGTGAGAATTTATCATCTATATCCATTTTTTTTATAGATTTCAGTTTCAATTTTAAAGAAACTTTTCAAGATATTCTCATCAAACTTCATACACTAACACAAAATTTCATGTTGCATTACTATACACTCGGCGGGCATACATGTCCTATGGACATATTTCTAGTGTATTGCTATTTCTGTTGTTTGTTTACTTCCGGTCAGTAAGTGCCCCATAGGGGCAAGCCCCAGTCCTGTTTTCTTTTCCAGGGTTGCAACAGCACCCCCTAGAAAAACAAGCTGCACCATCCAATCAAATCGTGTTTTGTGCTGCTTTATGCCAATGAAATTAAGGCTGGATAGCATATGTATTATATTCTGACCAATGGGGTTGCCATATTTTCAAATAATTAGGATAGACTTACCACTTCAGCATTCCTTTCATCACTAAAGTGATATACATGGTCAAAAATTGACTAACTTTCATTTTTGTGTCAACTGCAGAGCAGAACGACACTTAGGGATCACTTTACCTGGTGTCTGTCTGTCCGTCTGTCACACCTTATATCTCCAAAATTTTGAGAGGCAGGGTTTTGATAATTAGCATTTGTATATGTTTTTGAGCTCATGATACTATACTTTGTATGAAATTCAGTTACCACACAAACTTATATTTAAATACTATGAAAATACATTGGGATCAGTATTCCACAATGAATCGTGTTGACTGACAAAGTGACAATTAAAGTAAAGACAGTCTGAAATTCCTTTCCTCCGAGGATTGTTGGAAGCACCTACATGTGTATTAATAAAATGATAAATAGTTATTCCTCATAATTTCAATTAAATTATTCATTTGAGGACTGGGGAACCATATTTTCTTTGATTGCCAGATTCTATCCCAGTCTTTTACTTTTGGATCCTTTTTTTCCCTTGCAGGCAAATGCATGAACCTCCATGCTAATATTAAATTAATAGCTGACCACTCTTAGATTTATTTACCTCTTTAATGACGATACCTAGCAGGTGACATATACATTCCTTGAAACACTGTAGTTCCTATTTGATTTTCACTAATATAAAGATTATTGAAAAAAGACTAAGGTGCTCTATAGTGATCAGTCTGTTCATTCATCTGTCTGTCAAATACACATATCCCTTGTTCAGAATACAGGTGACTCTAAATACTTCAAACTTTATATTTTTTTAATTAGATACATGTAGCTGCTTTGGAACATCTGAAAGGTCTATTACATTATCACTAGTTTTACTAGTAAGTTGAATATATTTTAAACTTTTAATTTTTTATTTTTTTCCAGGTAAGAAAGAAATTAAGGAGTTCTTAAATTGCCCTTGGAGTTCTTGGATTGCATCAAACTGCTAAAAGACCTCAACAAAAACAGCGTCTTGAAAATAAAAATGAAAATATTCAGTGTAAAAAAAAATGATGAAAGAGCCGCTAAAAATCTTCAAGCCTTTGAGCTGAAATCTGGAAGGCAATCTGTGGACTTTACTAGTATGTCATAATTACTAAGTCATCATTTGTGTATAATAAATACACTAAACTGTAAACACTTGTTAAAATGTGTATACTTTTTAGATATAATTTGTAGCTCACAGACTTCAATAGTTTCATGTAATTTACGTAATAATGAAAATTTCCTGTTGTCTAGCTAGATTAGAAACTATTATTGTCCAATTTTGGATATTGTGAAATAATTCATCTAGTATGCATACATGTGTGTACACTTTCGTGTAAATTAATTGTTATAGCAAATTCAATCGATCATTAAGTTGAATGTTGACTAATGTTTTTCATCAAAATTGTTTACACTGAATTGTTTGTGGATTTTTCCATTTGCCAAATCATGTCAAGGAGCACATGGCAGGAAATGCTTTCTCCTCCATTGCACCGGGTGTTTTTAGAGGTCTGTGTTTGTTGTGCTCTAATTATGTATTGTTTCAATGGACTTTAAAGCTTGATCACTGTTGGTAATCTTCATATTTCATATACTATTAGAGTACTTGAAGAAAACTGTAAAGATTTAACATACAGTATAATGCATGTATATTGCACTTTAAGTACAGTGTATGTGGTTAAGAAATGTTAAATCGTCTCATAGTGCATTGAATTTGTTGAAAATTAGAAAATGTGTTGAATTTTTTTTTGAAATAATGTTAGATTGCAGAT